TGGAAATGTAAATATTGTAAATTATATCTTCCAAGAATTATCATAAAAAGGAAATTTAGAATAATTTGTTCAGCTAAAATAAAACTGGAAATGAAATTTGAAGGTGTTGTTATTTTTTTTAAGTAGTTAAATTTCATCTTTACAAAGTATTCTAAAGATGCATGCATCAAGACACATAGTGTAAAAAAGAAGATGCATGAGGCAAAATAGAAGCATGAGTTTAAATGCATAGCGTAAACCGGCCCTAAGGGTCAACTCCATACTAAAGACTCTAGGAGCAGACGCTTTAACTATAACGCCATGCAGGCGAATAATTATGTCACTGAATGCCAATATCTTGAAAGTGGAGACAAAGGGGTTAAGCATTTGTTCATTCGACTCAATACTGTAAACCAACTTTTATTCGCGTGCGAGAAATTTTCGCGAAGTTCGCGAGAGCCTCGTCATCGCGAATATTTCTCGCCGCGAATGGGTCCTTAAAGTCCCTTTTTCTATTGAAAACAGTTCTAAGAAGGCTTGATCGCGAAAATTAATCGTCGCGAACTAGTTTTCTCCCTGTAAATCGCGAAATAAAGTCTTCGCGAATAAAAGTTGGTTTACAGTATATTATTTTGACTCAAGAAAATTTGATTTGCCTTTATTTTGTTCATATTAACATAGATGCCATGTATTTTTGTTTCATGTAATATTATACAATTATTGCTGTTTTTTGAGGTCAATACAATGATTTAGCCATCTGAGGAGTACAATATTCACCGAGCCCGAAGGGCGAGGTGAATATTGTACTTCGAAGATGGCTAAATCATTGTATTGACCGAAAAAACAGCAATAATTGTTTTATTATATGATTCACTGATAAAATAATACAGCTCATTACTTGTTTGCATTTAATTAAGTCCTAGCCAAATACAAGAGAGAAGCAGAATTAAAATGTAAATAAACTTTACCAGTCGTATCAATTTGAAGTTGTTTTTTATATATAAATTTTAGTTGCCATGAAAAAATATACTGTCATTCTTTTTTATAGGATAGGTTTTGAAAGGAAGGAGTATTATCAGGAAAAAATGACTGCTAAAAAGTTAAAACAGTAAAAGTGTTGGAGGGGGGTCCCTGCATTCCCTCTTACCACCCTCACCCTAAAATATATATTCGTTTATGTTTTGTTCACATGAAAAAAATCATAGTCGTTTAAATAGCTTTCCAAAACAATTTGTATCAATTTGGAATTTCCCAATCTATTTTTAGATCAATGTAGAGGAAATAAATCCTTGTATTGACCTGGAACGTCACGTGCAGGTCAATACAACGTAGTATTTTTCTAACATAGTTGGATCTCAGCCAATCAGAGAGATGGAAATTATTCAATCATATAATAATACATAATATTTCGTAAATATGCTAAAGCAAATGAGCTTAATGACATAGAGCCGATATATTTCATACATAAAACGGCACTGACCATTCACGTAACCAATAAAGTTACCAATACCTTATTTCTTAAATCAAATATCAATATAAAGAAAAGGCTGCATTTTTATACCCCAGAATTTTTTTTCGAGAAACCAAGCATTAAAAATTAAGTTTCTTGAATTTGCAGTGAGCTTGGCATATCATCACTGTGCTTGGTATACCTGTATTTTAGTACTCTAAGCAATAAATTTAAATATTATACCAGTAGTCCTCATAAACAGTCCTTTTATAATCTTCAGACATAAAAAAAAATTCTTGTAATAATAGCTTTATTACTGGGATTTACCACACATTACCCGGTTTTTCCTTTTGAATAAAATATTTTGAAGGCCGGGTACCGGGCACACTGTACTTTCTTATTTCATTGTAATTAATGACAAACAACATTCGTTTTATTCGTCAATTTTCTTGCTTCACTTCGTCCATGCATTTGAAAGTTCACGTGGAGTTCGAGCTCTTTACTATAACCATGTTTTTTAAAAGTGAAAGGTATGACATTGTATTTGTATTTAACAGTTTAGTTTGTAAACATAATTATTTACAATTCGCTCCTAAATGTTCTTCAGGTGTCCGCCACTATTTTTACCTTTTGAAATATTTTAATCTTAAATCCTGATTATATATATTATCATCTCATGAAATATATGGAAATGACGAAGAGTATTGAATTTCGAGCTCAAAACTCCATTAAACACTACAAAATAGGAGTGGAGCTTAACATAAAATGTGAACTTCTACCCAATTATCTTTAAAATCCTTGATGTTGTTGTGTCGATATAGCACGGAGTATTCTTTACTAAATAAACGTATATGTACTTCTATACAGCAAAACGATACATTCATGCAAAAACACTTCAATGAAAGCCCACAGTTAGGAGTACTTGTATTGATCAATGGCTGGCTTTCAAAAGATGGGGGGTGTAAATTCTATATATATTAATCTGGATAATTTAATTTGTTCACACAAATAAAAAACATGCAAAGAAAACTGTCTGTCTTTTGTGTGTTTTTTTTATCTACGTATTTATTCGTGTTTTTCAAATAAAGTATGAAATTATAAGTTAACTAAAAGATATCATGATTCTTACGTCAGAGGTTGCACATTAGACAAGAAATAATACTTCAAGTGAGCAAAAAAATCGTTATCATAACTGCTCCCAGATGATTTGATACACTAGAGCATGTTTTACTGCGATCAATATTTTAATCAAAAGGCAAAGAAAGAGTGATGATAAACCATGATTAAAAACAGTCTAGCTTAATACAGTAACTATACTTTCGTACGTTCTATCATCGAGACTATGACTTTGGCAGCAAAAATATATCGGTAAAATATATATACTGAGCTTTATCAGTATCATTAAACTTAGGTTAGATTGAAAAGTAAACAACAATAAATTTTTCTCTAAATAGATCAAGGAACACACGGCGGGTGTGACCGGTCAGCAGGAGATGCTCACTCCTCCATGGCACCTGATTCCATCTCTGATGTTTCAGAGATCCGTGTTTGCTCTGCTCCTATTTTGCATTGTTTTATGGACTTTGATATAAGATACTAATCGTTATCTCCAAATCCTTCATTAATTGTTTAAGCTATTATATTCACATTGAATTTAACCGTTCTTTTGATCCTTTATCGTTATTGTGAGAAAGAAGGGCAGAAAGTTTTCGGTGAGCGTTGTGGCCTGCGGATCTCTTGATTTGGAACCGCAGCAAGATGCCATCTGTCAATTTGATTTGAAACATAATGTGAAAGTCCGGTTAACTTTCTACAAATGATAGAAAAACCAATATGTTACATCAACAATTAACCTCTTGAATTAAGTGTAACATCTGCACGTTTTCATTGCTCTTTACGATTCAAATTTCATATGATACTTTATATTTATAAGAATATGATATTGTTCGAAGCCCTCAATAATCATAAAAAAGATTATTATTTAACGTATATCAGATTGAAAAGTAAACAATGAAATTCTCTCTAAACAGAAGTATAAACTCATCCATTAAATTTTGATTATGCATATAAAGTGTACGATATAAACCAAAAAATATTTATCACAAGTTTTTAGACCGATCATTTTGGTTCTATTTATAAGTACAACAAGACTGACATTTAAAAGATGCTACTCATCGAGATCAATCTTTGGAGAACACAGCTTCCAAAGAATTTGAAAAAAAGCCCTATAGATATTGTGATTTTGTAGATCTTCACGAAGAAAAATAAAACACTTGCTGTTGCCTTTCCTGATGTTTAGAAATGTTGACGATTATCAGCTGATTAATGTAGTGCAAGTTTATTCCTGTACAATAAATTGTTGGCTTGCTAGAACCCCTGTGAACTCAAAATAAAAGATACATGTAACATAGTTTCTGTCACATCTGGTTCATATGTGAATCACATGTGTATAGAATGCTTCATACACTACAGATAAAAAAACCCCAAACTATCCAAACTGTATCACTAACAGAATTGTTTCATCTTTTTCATCGTTAACATCCCATAATGATGTGATATTATTCTACCACCAGCTGCATATTTTCCGTCTACGATGATACTCAGGAATATATTCTGAGTTTAAAAAGGGGCAGATTGATGAAAAAATAGTTAATGTTTCATCGATTTCAATACGAATGATCAAAGTCGCGGCACCTAGTATATTCTATAGATGTTTTTTATAACTTTATTTACAAATACAACCGCAACCCGTGTGGTTTGGGCGTTTGCTCTGGAATTGTGGGTTTGGGATAGGATTTTATTTCTCAAGTTCGAATCCCACTGTGGAATGAAGAGACCGGTCTATCGGATGTTGCACATGTTACTGGCTGCAATGATAAAGATACCTCTTGGCTTTATATGCTTTATGACTTTGAGAGTGGAGTTTAGGTCTAGATTTACATACTGTAGACGTACTTTTTCCACGGGGTCGTAATTCCGCGGAATCTCAATATCTGTTTAATCCGCGTGTAGGAAATTACGCGGATTTCTTAGACTGTCACTATATTCCTTACATTTATATTAAGTACGCTTTGACAAATTTCCGCGGAAAATAGTGACCGCGTACAGAGCGTAAATAAATACCACGCGGAAAAAATGTACATTTACATTACCTCCAGACATGCACATTTCTATATACATGTAAATGAACAATTCACGAGAGGGGTTCACACAACAACTGAACAAATTTTGTATTATTGGGTCGTTTTATTCCTGAGTATTTCTTATAATTTGTCATGCGGAACTGCCTTGGTTTTTGACATCGGACTACCTGGTTCTACATCTACCCATGATTAATGATTCGTTAAAAGTATAAAATATTCTAGCTGTAAAAATATTGAACACTGAAAATTTCATTTTTTTTTTGTAGCTACATGTTTATACAAAATAACACTTCTAAATTAAATTGGCACATACAATGTAATAAAGTTGTGTAGATTTAGGTAGATTTCTTTTTAATAAACGTCTTTTAGTAATACAAAAACTTTGCGTAATACATAACCCTCATAATAATTTAAATTTTGATAGATGTTCAATAGGAATGGTACCTAGTACCGAGGATAATAAACAGTATAAGAGAGGCCGCTATAATAAATAGAAAAAACATGAGAAAGAAAAAATTATCAAGTAGGCTTGAAAATTCTTCCCATGTAATTTCCTTTTCTTCATTATTTTTTGGTGAATTTTCCTTGTTCTCTGGTACAGACTCTTTAGACGATAAAACCCCATGACAGTTGCTGTAGAACTCACGTGCTCTTCCTTCTGGGATATTTTTAGATGCTTCATCGCGACAACAATATCGTCCAATGCAACAAAACTTTGCAAGACAGTTTGCGAAAGCTTTAGTACATGGAGGCAACTTCCCTTGGTTGATCGACACATGAGATCCAATGATAACGATGAGAATGGACAACGTTGATGTTGTCAGGACAACTGCTAGGTAAACGGCTGTAATGGAAATAAAATCTTATCTATTCTATATTAGTATATTTAAACCAGCAATGATATTAAAACATACCCATGTTTTCTGTCTTATTGATATTGATTCACAATAATTTGAAATGAAATTAATTCAATTGAATAGAATCTATTTTAGCACAGATATAAATAAAGCTTCTTTTTTCATCAGAACATCCAGTAATTATTTTCGACATATAAAGATGGGTTTTAAGGTCAGACGACACGTTCTTCAAATAATATGTCTTGTTTCTTTTGGTATTATATAAAAATTATTTATATTATCACTCTTCTGATTTTTACATTGTTTTCAAAATCTTTTTTTTTAGATGTAAGTACACCAAACTGTTTGGTTTGAAACATTGTGATATAGGCCATTCGAAAAATATCCATAACGGTTATTTAAGGAATATAACCCTGTGGTATCTTGTCCAAATGCCTGGTAAGGTACCCTCATTTTCGTGAGGAAACTTGTTTAAGTACCTTTACTTCAATGACAAATTCTTTGGAAATATTATATATATTTTTAAAAATGTGTCGTGTGACCTTAAAATAAAGGAAACTACAGGTACTGTGAGCAATGAGCTCACTAAATGATACCCCCGCCTCCCATAATGCCCATTTGTTGGTATATATTGTTTTACGGTAATGTGTAAAGAGGAATAACTCGTCCTATTAAATGTTATCCAGAAGCTTCCATATGTGACGTCATAGGTAACCCATATAATGGCAATACATGTTTTGCTATGGGAAACCTAAAATACGTGTCGAATGAAAATGCAAAATAGGAGGTGCACAATGGAATATGTAATAAAGATTCTGTGAAAGTTTCATTAAATTTCACTCTTTAGTGTAAAAGAGGGGTTGCGGATAAGAGATAAAGCGTAACAGACGGACGGACGGACAGACGGACGGAATTCCCGATTACTATATGACCTCCCACTTTTCAAGCGGGGGATATAATGAAATTTGTTCTTACATAAATAGCAAACAGACACAGATGTGCTAGGTATATGGTCCGCAATCAAAGATAGATATACAGCATACGACAAGAGTACTGTCAAAGAATACCCAATCTTCTCCTCTACCACCTTCAACTTAAACACGAAAGGAATGAGCATGCCCATCAGAAAAACCGGAAATATGGTGTTTATTGTGTGAAACAGATAACGTCTTTTCATTTGCAATTCAAAAGATAGACTGGCAAATTTGAATCCATTCCTGGTCCTAAACCCATCAGCGGTTGGACCCGATGTAGTAATAATTTCCCATTCGCCATTAATGACGTAATCAGAGAGATCTACTGCGTTCTCGTCGTAGTGGAGGTCGATTTCTCCTTGGGTGTAGCCAGACGTTGTTATTTTGATGTGGCAGGTCTGTTTGTCAAAAGGATAATAAGTGACGTCACATTCACAGGACACTTTGAATGCCCCTGCTGGAGTGCGACTTACTTCACCATTTGGTTTAATTCTCATTGGCATGTTTTCATCGTTAATTACCGATAGATCTTCAACACTAAAATAAAATAAAAATAATGAAAATCCAATTTGATCCGGAAAAACGTCTTTCAGCTGTAATAAGACTGAGTTTTGTAATTATAAAAAAAATATTTAATATTTTAGCAATATTTTTAAATATCAATTATAGAGCCTTTAAAGATCAAATCATTGGGGTCTACATGGTCTACATCAATAAACATTCTATGAGTATTGCATAAGCAGTACATGTACCCCACCGGGTTCCATTTTTCTCTTTTGGGTGTCATTCTATAATATCCTGTTTCTGATAAAACTACCCAGCAAGTTTCAAATCAATTTTTTTAACACGAAAATCTCGTTTAGACCATTAATTTAGTGCAGTACGAACCAGATCTTAAACCATAATATGAAAAATTAAATTCCGTCATAAATCAAAGAAGCGTCTTGACATATTCAAATTTGATCAGTAACTCATCAAGATATACTCAGATACCGAAAATCAGCTCAATATCTGCAAGCGTTTAGAAAAAAGTGCGGAAAACCAAGCAGGACAGACTCGCAGACAGAAATAGGACAGCTAGACGGACGGACGGACAGACTCAGAGGAAATCTAGAGTCCCCTCCGGTTTCATCGGAATAAGGAATAAGGAAAGAGACAAAGTTAATTAAGATCACTTCTTGATTCTATGTTCGAAACAAGATGTTGATCGTAACAACGCGGTTCTGTAAATGCTTTACATGAAAATTCTGAGTTTACAGAATCTGATAAGCAATATGACGTTTGATACCACAATCCTACTCCCTACATAAATATAATCTTCTGTTAAAGGAAAAGAAAACTTCACATCTACAGTTTTTCGGTATATTCTGATGGTAAGGTAAATCAGTTTTGGCTTCTAAAAAACTAAAATACAAAATAGGAGCGGAGCAAACAAGGACCTCCAAAACATCAGAGGTGGTATCAGGTGCCATGGACACACCCATTCTTCAAAAATAATTAAATGTAAGCTTTTTGATATAATATAAAACTTCTTTAATGAAAATGAATGGAGGTCGTAAATATTTGTGATTGGTCTTCAACAAAATTACATGTATGATTAAATGATTTCTACAGATCAATCTGATCTACACACAATTACCCTTCAGTTCATATAAAAAGGATGCGTGTGTTACTTATTGAGTACATTTATGTAGTTTTCGGATACCAAATCTTCCAACAATTAAACTTTATAATTAACGTGGACACTTATTGTCTTCCATTATTTTCTGACCTGTTTTCATATTCATATGAAGCAGAATTTATGCAAAGACTTTAGCATGAGAATAATTTGCCCGCCAAAATATGATTATGCAAAATCAAACATTCTAGATCGACATTCTATAATTAAAGATAACACTTTTTCAAGATCATCTTAATGCTTAAAGAATTTAAAATACTGCTGAACTGCAGTTTAGATTAAGTATGTTGGTTATATGCTCCTATGTTCTAGATATGTTAACAATGAGTAGGGAATCCATCATATATTCCTTGTACATAAAATATATGGAGAGAACGAGCAGTGTTAAAGCTCAAAGGCTAATAAACAGTACAAAATAGAAACAGAGCAAACATGGACCTCTAAAACATTACGTCTTTTGGCCCCACTATCTTTGTTTTGTGTATGTATTTATTTTCATATGTAAGATTATAGGGGTCATAATTGTGTTCAGTACTGCATGTATTGTTATACAATAGTTCTGCATGTTTATGAATGACCCCCTATTTAGAATATATCATTCCGTCATATACAGTGATATTATTCATTCTTATACAAGAGTTCATATTTCGCCTTAGTACTTTTGTATAGTTTCCTTGGAAATGTTATACAAATTAAGGAACTTAGAGCATGTTAATGAGGATATCCTTCATATACGTATACTCAGGTGAGAAATAATGTGACATTCGATGTCCTTGTCACCAAGTATAATTTATCATTGAATCAAATGCTGACTGGAATTTCAAACACTAATTGTAAGGCCATTATTACACACTGATATAGCGACGGATTTTCCGTTGTTTTCCGATCAGGACAAGGAGCAGGGGACGCTCACTCCTCTACGCGTCCGATCCCACCTTTCATGTTTCGGAGGACCGTGTTCGTTGTGCCTGTATTTTGATATAGTCCAGTCAATGAACGAAAGGACCCGAAACAAATTGCAAAAGAAGAAATAAATGCATAGAAAGTTTCATTTATGTATTGTTATTAATCTCTAAAAATTCGCCATTGATTAGTCATTGTATAATAATTTTCTGCGAATTTTCTAATTTTTTGTTAAACGAAATTCATGATAGCGTAATGTGCCCTCCATATGCAATACGGAATATGACGTCATGATAACAACCAACATAAAGAAGGAAGATTATCTGTTAAAATTATGTAAATAAATATTCTATCTTCTTAATTCAGTAACTTTTCAAAGGTATTCTTCCTATATACTTTATTTCGACACGCAACTATTAAAAGTATTAGAGAAAACAACATTCATTCTGTTTCACTGCCTTCATAGCACACGAATATCTCCCATAGGCCCCTAATACATCTTAAATTGTTAAAAATATAATTCTCATATTCAACATATTAAATTTGAATTATGGTTTTACAAAGAAAACAAAAGCATTCGAAGTGTATTTTGCTCATTTGTCGCTGATTATTTACGTTTTTATCGATGTGTTTACTTTGACTCTGTCCAAAATAAAATAAAATACGACAGCTCAGTACAGTCATACAGTGGAGTCGCCAATTCCGGGTCGTCTCCAATTACGGGTCACTTGTGTGTATTTTATGTCATATTGTTAAAATTTAAGAGCAAAAAAGTTCATGAATACGCTGGTCATGAAGAACTGGTCTTTCTGTATGTAATTATTTTCAAAATTTTGAATATCAACTGTAAGAGAGCACCCGACAATCGAAATTCTGAAACGCACGCATTAAAGACTTGGATGTTTCTGCTGCGCTGACGGCCTACTTTCGTTTTTGTTCGCCGCAGAAAGGCTGATAAAATAGTTCTAGATAAATAATAAGAGGTCGAAAGTATGTCAAATGCATTTAGTTTTAACTCAGAAATCAATCATAATGATCGCTGCTCAAATAAATTTATAATGATTATTAAATCAAACTGCAGTAGTTTCTCCAATTGCGGGTCACGCAATCTCGTGGCATGAACATGTCAAAACTCTATGTACAAAACCAATCGACAGCCGTGTATTTACCTTGATTATCATAAGTATTCTAACTGGAAAATATTTTTTCTAAAAATTAAAATCGAGTTAAGCGTTCAAATGCATTTTTTAAATAATTGTATTTCATTGTATTATTTGCAATCCTAATACATTTTTTTTAATTCTGCATACTGCAATTTGTTTTGTTGTAATTGTTTTAAAATTAATTTAAACATATTTCTGTGGTTTTTTTACTTTCTTCCAAGCTGGATGAATTGTTTTATGTTTCAACATCATAAAAATCGTGTTCCGAAACGTTCCATGAATATTACACGACCGTGAAGTCACATGACCCGGAAATGGAGAAAATGATTCGTAACTGGGGAAGCTAGGCCTTGCTGAAATACCCCTGTAAATATTGCTCCCGTGTATCTACTTTGAAAACGAAAAGGTGTTTTAATGACTCACTATTTGTTCTTTCAATACATATATTGCATAAGATATAAATTGAACCGATTTGCAAAATATCAACGAAACACTCTGATGTGACCCGGAATGGGCAACTTCACTGTACTTTATCCCGGAGTACTCAAACTCCGTCCCAATAAGAGGAAAACGTCCTGCGTTTCTCTTCAAATTATATTTTAATTTCTTTTTTTGTTTGTAACACATAGTAATAAACTTGAATGTAGTTTTTAGTGATATTAACAAAAAGTTATGTCAGTGACTTGGCTTAGGGCCTATATAATACCACTTGATAGAACATGTATCACGCCAGTTTTATTTCCTCCAACGTACGCTAACTCCGTCACTAGGGTTCTCTATTCAATCTTTATTTCCCCCTTTAGGAGATTTCATGATTATGCAAAATCAATATAATTACAATACATAAAGAACCTCAAGAAAATAACAGAGCCTAACATATTTATATACATGTCATAGAAATAAAAAAAAATATTTAAAAAAAATACAAAAAAATGAATTTTAAAAAATGTACAGATATCCATGCCTTTAGTGGGCATTTTTAACATTTTGAGTGGCCTTGCTATGATAGGCAGTGGCACTACACACAAACTTGTATGAATCGATTCTTAAAATTTTTTTTCATCTGATAAAGACGTTGACCAGTTCCAGCCCTCCCTGCAACGATACATATAACAATTCACCACTTAGCTTGGAGAGTTCTATGTACTAATGTATATTAAAATTAAAAATTATCTAATATGATGTCAAAAGAAAAAAAGCATTTCTGATATGGTTAGTGAATGGACACCACAAAACAGCATGCTGGAATGGATTATACTATACACACCTCGACATAAATTGCAGGTTTGTACCAAAGACGAAGGCGATATAGTCCAGGGCTTGGCGAGAAAGGATTTTATGTATGGAATATCGTCGAACGAAAAGTTGAATTTCCAAATTTTGATAAGTTAACACTGTTATGAAGGATTCTAAACATTCCGAAGTTTGGGTCTGCTTCCATGCAGATTCGTTTACAAACTGTGAAACAGCGCGTAGTTTCCCGAAAGTGACGGATTTAGGATAGTGACGGATTTAGGAAGTTTGGCGATAATTGAATCTATTAGGCCTATACTGTTAAAAAGTATATCATTGAGAGAGTTAGCAAGATTCCAGTTCCACTCAACCAGGACTATTTCCCTCGGCGCTGCGCCTCGTGAAATAGTCCTTGCCTTGGGGAACTGGGATCGTGCTAACTTCTTGAATGATAATTGTATACTAACCTTGGATAACCAATGTTCACCATTAGTTTCTGTTATTGCATTTTGTTCACCCAAATCTTTGTTTTGTGAATTATTTTGCAAGTGTTGAAAGTAAATAGTTAAAAGGGGGAGGTGCTACAGTGCCTCAATGCTATTGCATAGAATCACACAACAGGCCCTTCAAGCCTGGCAACGGTTTTCAAGCGGGGGGGGGGGAGGGCTTCAAAAAGAGTTGACAAGCCAAAAAAAACCCAAACAAACAAAACACCACCACCAAACGAATAAAAAAAACCAAAACACAAACACCTTTAATTCTTTTTCTATTTCAAAGGGAGAGGGCGCTCTAACCTTTCAGAAATTTTTTTTCCCGAATGCTTGCATTTGGCTTTTTTTTCTGACAATAAAAAGCATCGAAAAGCATCAGTCCAAATCAAAGGAGGGAAATATCCTCTTCTGCATAATCCCTTTCATGACTTTTTATGAAGATGATTTAGAAATGGCATATAGATATAGCTAAAATTTGCCTGAATCTTCCACTTATTTCATGTTACGTGTTGGAAGTCGTAACCAGGTTCACAGAGGAGAGCAAAACTGGGAAACTTTATCTTTTAGCGAGCAGAAAGGACAGAGTTTGAACAACATATAAAGTATGCTTATTTTATTCAAAATAGGTCTATTAAACCTAAAATATATTTGTTACATAAAAAACCTCGCTGTCTGTCTCTCTGCAAAAATAAGGAGGGGGATCCAGCCACCGAAACCAGCAAAACCCCCACCCCATTGGATCTATCATTGATGTTGCATCATATTTGCAAGCTTATTTTGACTTTTTTGTCAGAGATAACCTAAATTATCAAATGTTATTTATGCATCGGTACCGTTTTCGTCTATTTGCGTGTCAAAAATTTTAAAAGACTTTGCGACTTTAAACAAAAGAAAAATGTGGATATATATATACTTTGTACATGTATTTATTTTTTTGCTTGTTTTCTTTTTCGGATTCAAAGTGATCGCAAAAATATTTAAAAAGCACTGAATACACAGTAAATAACATTTTGAACCCCCCTCCCCCCCCCCCCGGCAGATGGAAATAATTACTGTTTCTTTATACATGTATATCCACTAAATTATAGGTTTATAAAACCCAAACAGATACTAATTGGTAAAAATTGAATTTCTTATTTACATTTTCACTCCGATTACAAAAAATTCGTTCTTCTGTACTACGTAAAACCTTTAAATTTCGCTGTATTTAAACACCTAGTATAAAATGTCATTTACTATTTTATAATTATGATAATAATGATGGTAGTACTTTTATCTTAATTTGAAAGATCTACAAATTTATACAGCATCATTCAGGCCTATATCTATATCCTATTATATTGTAAAAACGGTGTATAAACTGTTGAACTTTAAAACACGATACTTTGTTTATGGAGTGCAAAAAGGTCATATCAATATTCGAAATTGTCTAGATTTGAATAAAAATAAAGTTGTATTGAATTTTACTTAAAGTCTGTAAGCTTGTAACCCTCTGTCATGTTTTGTTTCATCACATTAGATCAGTTTCAAGAGCACATCTTTTATATATGTCTTTCATTTATATGTGCCATTTTCTCGCCATCGGTGACATAATATGTTATATCTTAAGATCCATAAAAATCACTTTCCCCTTGATATACAAATTGCGACTTTTTTCCCTGCAATAATTACTTAATATATTAAGCAAATATAGTGTTAAACATTCTTTTGCAATTTGTTTTAGGTTTTGCAAATTCTGTCGTTCATTGACTGGACTAATACTTCTCACTTGGGTATTACTTTTGGCATAAGTAATACAATTTATCATTAGTAAATGAGAGATATTTACAAATTCCAAGAAAACTGACTGTCTCCAAGAATTTAATGATTCCACAGTATATTCATGTACGATCACCTTTATTTTTAAAGGTACATGTATGACGCATTTTTTTATTTATTATAAATTTCGGTTAAATTAATAGATACGTGAACTGCTTTGATACAATACAAATGAATTTATGTTAATTGAAATTATTTTGGAGTGTACAAACTTGTTTCAATATGTTTCATAACCCTGACTTTATGATTGAATGCCGGTCATTCTTTTGCAATTATCATTTTATGCCAATGACAAACGCAATGAGAAGCACCATTCACACTTAATGCATTTGAAAAAAAAACCAATTTGTAAAAATAAATTCTTAGAATAACAGCACAATGTTTTTTAATGATTAAGATACTTATTTTTTTTTCTAATCGGATTAAGAAGAAAGAAAAACATCTTTAGGCTTTGACGATACATATTCTTGCTTGCAGTATTACAATATTGTTTTTAATGATAATATCTTACGAGTTTTCCACATAGATTGCTGGTGTCCACGTGTTTTCCTCCGTATTAAACAGAAAAATAACCGGAAAGTAATTGTGTTTATCAATCCAAGCTAAACGAGGGTCCAACCACTTCTACAACATTTATTAAAATATGCTGAATCAAAAGCATTAAAATTAAACAAATTATCATTTAATATTCTGTCTTTAAGTGTCATTTCTAACAGTCTTTAACGTATTAAGTATTGAAAAGCAAAAAGAGCATCCCGGTTGAAAAAAAATATGTACAAAAGGAAAATAGGGCCTAGAAGAAATACTGTCGGTCGAAAATTCCCTATGAATTTGACTTGCAATTGAGAAAATCACTAATTGCCTATATCCATGATTAAATCGAAATTACGACATCCTCCAAATGGATGAAAGAATGCTTTCTTTTCCTGAAGCGTTAATTTTTTTAACCGAAACTCTGCAAAAGATCTGGAATAACTGACTCTACATAGTCATTTTTGCATTAATTTGACTAAACGTTTGCCTTAGAATTCGATATTTTAAATCAAGGATAAGTACAACAAAAACAACATACCATAGACAGCATTCCAGACACAGAAAGTGTTTGGTCTACAATATTCTGAAAAGATAAATCAAAAACTTCCCGCGTAAATTCAGATGATTTAAAGGAGCAAAAACAATACTAGCAAAACCTAGCAAAAATACAATTTTCATGTTAGTTTTTAATGATGTCTTTTTAAATTATTTTAGAGTAAAAAAGATATTCTGTAAAAATAATCATTAAATAAGTTCATGTAGAATATTCAATCACTGTCGATTGTTTCGATGTAAGTAAGGTGTTAGCTGAATGATATACGTGTTGATCCTGAAGCATTACGTAAACATATTTTTTATATTTGATTATCATATAGTATTACAATGTATATGATCATTTTAAAGATGTCATTTAATTGTATTATACATATTTCTAGCAAATAAAAAAGCACTTTTTCACTTAATATCATATCTAGACTACAATTATTGTGAAGTTACTAAGGTCTTTAAAATACTCCTGTTTCATTGAACGGTATTATATTTTGGGTTATTTAGATTCTTTAATTTCAAACTTTCTTTTTTTTTATTTATGCCAATCAGAGTATCTTACACAAAACAATCCATGACGTACGTACCAGATCATTTATTGTATACAGCATGAAACTAACATTGACGGCGACAAGACTCGAGGGACGAACTAAAGGAGAGTAATTCCCGCCGTAAAGCTCACTCAATAGGGCAACTTCTAAGTCTGCTGTGTACGGAGGAAATCCGGGCTGTGCCTGACATATATGTAGTACTAATGGAAAAAAAAAATAAAACTTAAGCACTGCCCTTTGAAATATCTATTTTAAAAATAAGCAATATTATTTTTTATGACATGATATACTTTTAAAATAATATCAGTATACATGTATATCATTATAATATAAGTGTAAATTACAAAATATATTTAGTGTACAGCTAAAACCATTGAATCATATTAATTGTTTAAGTAAAATTATTCAAAATAAATGAATTTTACTTGATTCAAAAGTGTTCGTTGTCTCTCAGAGGAATTTTAATAAGAAAAATAGAGTTGCAGAAATCATTAAGGTTTAAATATATAATATGTAACGTTTTAAAAAAAGATTAATCTTATGTAAATTTCACATATTATTTTTAAATGTACTCACCTAGATGGACACAAAAAACAGTTAACATACTCCACTGCATTATAAGCAAAATAATAAGAATCGCATCCCCAAATCGTATTTTATGTCTAAAAAGAACATATAAAATTAGATAAATAAAAAGAAAATAACATTCATTTCTGTTAAAAGCCAAAACTATCATATCTTATACAGTGATGTATATTTACATGAAATTTATAATGTAAATATATTTGTTTAAAGCATATAAATTATTTTACCACAAGTATCAAATCTCCTTTTTGTGTGCGAGCAATTCATAATCAAGAAAAAATATGGTATTAAATTATAATTTTAGTAACAGAAAAATATCTAGTATAATAAAAAAAGAAACAAATAGGAAATTCTTTTTCAAAAGTAAATAATATTAAAATAAAATTTTCTACATTTTATATGACCATTCCTCACCATAAATCAAAAATCTAAAGATGAAAGTTTTTGATATTCTTTAATGAAAATAGAACTTGAAATTTTTCGTATCATGTGACAAGCTCATTTAAAGCCAGTATTTTGTAAGTTTTACGATCTTTATAATGACCTTGGTAGTAAATAAAACCTACCGTGAAATAACTAATTTTACCACGAAATCAAATCCCCATGAACCAATATATTTCTCTCGATCCACAAAAATTTGACCCCTCGAAAAAATGTGATTTTACAGTATCAAATAGATTATCTTGACAGACTTTTTTTTCGTATCAATTGTAGGTCTTCGTACATATGTAGGCCTTCGTCGTATACTGAATTTGACTGTTCTGTCTACCTGATCAGAATATTGGGTTCACATCAGATGTGACTGGTCGGGAGAAGATGCTTACTCCTCTTGGGCACCTTATCCCACCTCCGGATATAAGTAATCCGTAAATATGCCCTCTTCACAGATTTGTACTGTATGAAGATTTTTTTAAAACTTTCGTTTTTTATATCCTTTTCAGTATCAAAATGATATTTTCCATATTAGAACAGTCACATTTAGCTCATTATCGGAAACTTAAAATGTCTTTTGGATTAAATTTGCTATTGTCTTCCATATAACAATGGGATAACTGGTTGACGACGGGAGAAAATGGGATTTTTTTAACATTGCGACAGAATTTTTTGCTTCTACATGTGTTCATGGTCTCAAGCCACTGTCCATAGCGGGAAAGGAGCCTAGATTTTGACCGTGGTTTACAACGATTACATGTATAACTAATTTTATATTTTATTTGTTTGCATATTTCATTCTTTTTCTATGCAAGAATGAAAATTTCAACAGAAAATTGTGAACTCTTATCTATGCCTTCTCCTCATAGGCACCTGATTGCACCTCTGTTATTTCCAGGTTTATGTCCTTTTCTTGTCTTGCGTATTGTAAATGGATTTTTTTAGATCGATCGATGTTTTGTTATCTTCATCTTTTCCATTAAAAAAAAAAGAGAATTAATTTGTAAATAAAAAGTATGACTTTGCTTGCCTTAAACAGATACAGTTATACTAGCATATATATGAAAAGACTTACTTATGAAAACCCCAGCACTCACAAAACAAATATATTTTCCTTCCACAAGATTTTTTTAATCAAACAACAACCAGTTCGAGTGTGACAGTGTTAGTATTGAAAACCTGAAATCTTGTTGAACTCTCGAGTGTTTGATCACGATTTTAATCAGAAAGGTAATCCCCAAGCCTTAGATGCTCTGTAGGGAATAGACGGTGACCTTAGATATTTAAAAACACCCAGATAAATAAACCATAAGTCAATGATTACATGGTCATTACATATGATTACATTTAATTTCAAATGTTTGAAAATAAGTAACTATACTTTGATAAGATGTTTTTAGTTTATAACTTTAAACAATCATCGTTCATGATTTGAAAGGTTCGAAATCTGTGTAATGCTATCCATTTGATCAAATAAATGTTTGTGCTCTTGGTCATATACACAGTGATTGTTATATACGCTATAGGGTTTTAATTATTCTAAATACATGTATGTATTTTTCTTCTAAAGCGAGATTTTTTAGTAGGTATTTTTTATGTAAAGACTGTCTTGGGGTATTTTTGTAGTGTTTATTTTATAATCTAATGATTATCAGCGTAGAAAAAATTGTTTATCTATCAGAGTATTAAGTAAAACGACAAATTCCAACGTCCTACTAAACAAATAATTCCGAAGTTTTATAAATATTGATGATATGTTTAAGTGCAACAATTCCTCAGACATAATTAAATAAACAAATTTATTGTCAACGATATTATTTTTTGAAGGAAATTGAGTTTATTTAATTTGCATTTTATGCACTTATATCTCAGGAAATAAATTGTAATGTTGCCAACTATTTCAAGAATATCTAAAATGCAACATTTATTGATTACGTAATGACGGCATTTGTTACAAGAATGAATATAAAGTGTGACTTTTTGGATGCGATTTCATTGCAATGGATGAGCTTAACTTTATTAATACTAAAGAGTTTAGTAACAGTAATAACTAGACAGATTGTAATTCTATAGGTACGACCATATCCCACCTCTGTTGTTTGCACTGCTCCTGAAATATATTAATTGAATGGGCTTTTGAGCTTGGATGCTGTCCTTCATCTACATATATTTCATATAAATACTAGTATCTTGCTCTCAGCATGTCTTGACAATAATGAGAAAGTTTATACAATTCAAAATTATTTACAAATGTATATAATTTTGCAAAAATCAAACAACTGTATGTCCATCTAAACAGTAGCAGTTATCTCAGGATATTCCTTATTTCAAAAGTCCACAAATAAAGAAATCTTTTCTTGCAAACATTTTATCTTATGCACCTAAAAGTGCTTTGTTGTCTAAAAAACGGCAGCGTAAAAAATTACACCTATGCCGCCTAAAAGTACAAAAATAGATACATTTTTAAAGAAATCAAATTATCTTGATCTAACCTTAATAATTAATGCCAAGTGATTTTTTTAAAAGTAAAAAGTACTTACTTATTTAATCCTCTTTGTGCTAGTTAGCACATAAGGCTGTCACTAGAGACTTCCATGTTGGTCTGTCTTGTGTCCATCTTTGGATCTGTCCCCGTGTCCAGTTGTTTTCTTTTTATCTTTTTCTCTACAGCTCTTTTCCAAGATTTTTTTGTCTTCCTCTCTTTCTCTTGCCAGATGATGTCCATCTCAATGCAACCCTTGGAATGGAGGTTGGGTGCATTCTTCATATATATCTCCTATCCACAGCCATTTTCTTTTCTATATATCTTGAGACAGAGGAGTGGTGTAAGTCTCTTTGTACAACTCTTCATTTGAGATGTTAAAAAAATGTCTCAAAATGTAAAAAGTAAAAAGAGATGACCGATATATCGATCATTTATACCACAAAATTTTTGCTGCACAACTTAATGGAAGAGATAATGAACACTATTCAATCTCAAAGTCCATAAAACAATACAAAATAGGAGCAGAGCAAACACGGACCTCCGAAACATCAGAGGTGGGATCAGGTGTCATGGAGGAGTGAGCATCCCCTGCTAACCTGTCAAACCCGCCGTGTGCTCCTTGTCATGATCGGGAAATAACGGAAAAATCCGTCGTCAACGGTATAAAAATCCGACTAGGCCAAGTCAACGCTGAATAAGCTCTTTGTCTTGATATATCTCTGATTGCACACACTGAATATATGCAATGAACTAACAATTTTTTGAATATGAAAAACGTCATATAACGTCAGCCCTTTGACTCAATGATAAATTGTATTTGCTGACAAGGTCATTGTATCTACCATAGAACTTACGAAATGATGACTTTAAACGAGACTTCTGATATTCTTGTTTCATCAACTTGCTTGTCAATAATTAACCTCGTTTAAGAAATTGTTCATACGTAGAGCATGCTCTTGCGTATCGAATCAACTGAGATATATATACTCCGTATGCAGGTGATGGAGGTATATTGCTGCTTAAGTAAAGGAAGTTGACAATAGGAAAGTTAAAGTCATCACATTTATCAGATAGCTAGGTTGTTAGATTACCATTAACGTCTTTTTCAAGTAAAATATCCAAGTATGAAACAGATGTGTCAGACTCTGTGGTATCTTTTATTTCAAGAACACCAGGATAAATCGTATCGACGTAGGAATGGAAATTACCATTGTTAATTGACAATACGTCGTCGATATATCTAAATGTGGATTTGAAGGCCACAGCATTTCCTTCTTTTTGCACAAATTCTGCTTCATAAGAATATAAAAAAAGGTCTGCTAAAACGGAGCGCAATTTGTACCCATGGGAATTCCAATAGATTGTTGGAATACATGGTCTTCAAAAACCACATAGATATTGTCAATCAGAAACTCAAGCATCTCTTTGATGTCAACTTCAGAGTACTTGTGTGTGCAATCAGAATGTGTTTTAACAAAATAATTTTGCAAATGACCAATGACCAGGTAAGTAAATTTACGAGTTCCATTTTTATTGAAAAAGCAGCTGTCAGTGATATCAAAAAGCCTGGACTTTAATTTATCGTGTAGAATGGTTGTGTATAAAGTTGAAAAGTCGTAAGTTTTAAGCTGTTGATTTTGGTAAAATCTTATGATTTCAAATTGTCCAAAAGTTCTTTGGAATTTTGAGTATCCACAGCAACTCACACCACTTCTTGAATATATTGTTGCACAGTACTCTTGAAGTTTTTCCTTCACTACTGTCAATATCTTGGTGAGGAGTATGTTGGTTGAACATTTACAGGAACCCGCAATGTATCTTTGTTTGTAAGGATTTTTATGAAAATTGAAATAAATAAAAGAACTAAAAACCGAATATCCCTTTTTTAAACAGATAATAAAAGAAATTGCAACTTTTCCAGAATGCCTGGATACCTAACATTTATTAGAATTTTAAAACATTGCTTCCTTGATTTGGCTCTTGCATAAATTGCATTTGTATTATTGTTTTTACATTGAAAATACGAGAGACAATTGATTGTTTATAAGGTTTTGTTTCTGAACTTAAGTATTTTTATGTACTGGAGAGGGTTTTCTTCTAAAACTTAGCAAAAATGGAAAATAACATCAAATATTGAAATATAGGTACATGTTTGATAGGATTTGTTAGAAGGCTAGAAGAATGGGTGTTACTAACAATCGTTGCGCCCTGTGATTAGCAGATCTATTTCTGTATTCATATGAAGCATTTTTTTCAAAATCTTCCATATAAGCAGTAGAAAACAATCGTTTAGCCTTGAACTCGACATTTAGATATATCCACGACACATTATCAATTAATAATAATTAATTCTACCTCAGCAAAAGTCTTTATGATAAACGTGATGACTTCAACTTTTTAATCGTCAACTTTCCTTACATTAATTATCATAACCCTTATCACTTGATATAGGATTTATGCCTCTCAAATGATTCAAGAGTATGCTCTACGTATGAGCAAGTTCTAAAATAGGGCAATTTATTGACAAAAAGTTGATGAAACAAATAAGGATATCAAGAGCCTCGTTTGAAGTCATCATGACGTAATTTTGGTTGATACAGTGACATTGTCAGCAAAACAAACTATCATTTTGTCAAATGCTGACTGACAATTTCATATTCATTGTCATGGCAGTATTTGTAAACACATTGAATAGTACTAGTCTGTGGGTTTGTTTTCGTTATTTCCCGATCATGACAAGGAGCACACAACAGGTGAGACCGGTGAGCAAGGGATGCTCACTCCTGCACGGAACTTGATCCTACCTCCTATGTTTTAGAGGTTCGTGTTTGGTCTGCATCTAATTTGTAGTGTTTAAATGAACTTTGAGCTTGAATCCTGTTGACAGTCTGACTAAAGCCAGTCCGTTTTATTTCACTTCGTATCACGTTCTCATATAGACCCACAATGAAGTGAAATAGTGGGGATTTGCTTTAGAAAGACGATAGAGTTCGGTAAGTGTATATATCTTATCATTCATTCCTCTAGTGCCTTTAAAGCGACATGTAACTGTTTGGATGGAATGTAGAAGAATACAAGATTAAACAAAAGATGACGTCACAAAAATCATCAATAAGAATAAAAATGATATTTATAACAATACTTCGCTAGCAAAGGATTTAGAAGGATTTAAGATTACACCAAAATCTTAACATCTAGATCTCCGAGGAAAATAACAATGTAGTTCTAATCTGGTACCGTATACAGGGTTTTCTTGGCGGGTGTAAAATTTGGCGTTTTGCCTGCGCTAAGGTATGCCAATAATCTTGGCGTAATTTATTTTAGCGGACGCAGGCTTTAAGCTCTTTGCAGATGGACACTAATAAGAGTACTGACTATTTCTTTACTGACTAGAATAACCCGCTATACGGTAATTTCAATCTGTCAGGATCATTTTCGTCGTTTATAAGAGCTTGTTTTGTATTAAATAATCTGTAAAATAATAACAAAAAAGTTTTTCTTTCAATTTCAAATGTTTTACTGAGACAAATGTTCGTAGTATAAGTCTATAATATTTCTATCTTATGATAATCATTGCAGCTTTTAACTTTTAGTTTATTTTTCCAATGGGTTCATACTTTTACTATAGCTTTTCCGATATTTTGACCTGAGAATAGGCCTATGAAAGCAGAAACCATCTTGTCAAAGCCTTCCGTCACAGTCTCCTTATACTTCACCTTCCCCTGAAAAGAATATTATATGTTAATATGTAGACTACTTGTGAGGCTTGATAATCAAAGTAAAATGATTGAATTTTAAATGTAAATACGTATTTGGGAAACAAGATTACATAGTACGTATTTTGAAACAGTAACAAATTTTCATTCAACATTTTGACAAGTAACTAAAAAGTGAGTACTTGTAAACCTTCTGCAAAGGTGAAGAATTTTATGACGTTGTATAAGAACTTTTGATTTCAGAAATGTGAAGGTGAAGGTGATTTTGGGTCACGCAATTCAAATGGGGCTAACTCGTGGGCTCTAATTTCAGATTCACTATACCTATCTGTATACATGTATGTATGAACGTTAGAAAATACTTGTATTTCATATATAGCCCATCTTTACTCTTCAGGAATTAACCGTTCATTGAATAATTTACCTCTTGAATCCATTGTAACATCTGTTTTAATCCTTCTGGCCATTTCTGGACATGATGCCAACCTTGAATACCCTCCACACGTAACATATTCATCAATATTGGTCCGTATGGTAGGTCACCTAAAAAAATGCCTCATTTTTTTTCTTTATTTCAATTAATATCTCATTACAGTAAGAAACCAATTTTAGTTTTGTATTTTACAATATGAATGGAAGACTATTTTATCTATTGTGATGTATCATACAATAAAAACAAAGTAAAAGAAAACAACAGGTCTCAAATTTTGCTTTGTACATACATGTACTGCGAAATAACTAATTTGGGTGAGGGTCTAATTTTCCTGGTTTTCAAGGTATGAAGAGACCCATGAATTTATGTCCACCACGAAATGCATATTTTCACAAAATTTACTACTGAACAATTCTTTAACCACGAAATCAAATCCCCATGAACCAATATATTTTCCTCAAACCACGAAAATTGACCCCTCAAAAATATGTGATTTTACAGTATATATATGTATAAATAATATATGATATAAAAGACTAAAGTGGGAACGCATCCAGTTAAAATCTAAACAAGAAAAGTCAATGTAAATACAATTTACATTTTGACTAATAACCTTTATCCTTTTGTTCTTTGTTGTATTGGGAAATAGATCCACAGATAGCTGTCCTTCCACATTTGTTCATATGTTTTAATACAGTGGTTGTTTCTTCCCCACCAACCTAGAAAAAAATCCTTCTTCAGTCATACTTTTCAGTATTGCAAGCACATAGTTTAGTTTAAAGATAATATTTTTTTTAAAATAACAGGACACTCAATTATTGTCCAAATATCTTAAATCAGAAAAGTTAATCTAAAACACCTCAAACAATCCTGGTCAACCATTATCATAAAGAAACTAAAATTGGACTATCCTACGTCTACCTACATTATCGAAAAAGCAGTCCACTCCTTCTGGAGCGTGATCTTTGAGGGCCTTCTCTAGTGGAGTTGTTTTGTAGTTAAACACCTCATCGAATCCCAAAACTTCCTTTAGCCATTTACATTTCTCTTCACTCCCAGCACTTCCCACGACTTTACAGCCCTGAAAAACGACAATATGTGTCATAATTCATAATAACATGTATGTTCTTATAAACATTAAAGTCAAGCTAAAATAGAAATATGAATCTAAATATATTTTTTGTATTCTTAGCGCTATAATTTTTTGGAATGTAGATCAACTGAAATTCAAAGCAGATTGTTGTTCTTACTATGTGATCTTATTCCATCTTAAGAATATCCGATCCTCAGCCAGGAAGGATAACTCCAAAAATTAATATTTAATTTGAAATGCATCAAAATGAAGCTTGAAAATGAAATTTTTTCATGCAACAATTTTCATTTTAATATTTTTATAAGTTTCAAGGTTTTTGGAAGTCTTAGAAAAGGTCTTATAAAAGTTGACATTTGTACCCTATAAAAGGAAAAAAAAAATACAGTTTTAGAGAAATAAGATTTTCTTGGATCCAGCCTTAGATACCAATGCTTGTTAGCATAATATGAAATGAGAAATGATTTGTGGTGTCTTGCAGTGATAGTAAAAGCCTTTTACACTATGTATTATAGAATACATGACGGAAATAAGAGACAAAAAATACCAAATAAGTATAAAATTCATGACAATTTCTCTGAATGCCTGGATACGTATAGTTTTTTAATCTAAAATATGTTTGTTGATCAATTTGCAATTAGAAAATGCATTGCCGATATTCCAATTCGTTTTTTTCTGCAAAAATATTGAAAATTTGAGAATTTTCCCTACATAATATGATTAACTTTAATCTTTAACTTTCAAGAAATACTGTGGATAAATTTACATAACTTTGTGGATTCAGAGATACTTTTATGAGTATTTTTGATTACTTAACTGCTAATTTCATAAACCTGAGGATCGGACTACCTTAAAGATTTCGCTTTAGACAAAACATCGAGATTTGTCAAATTTACACGTATTCATTTGAATCCCTGTGTAAGTTACCTTGATTTTGGCGATTTGTCCCACAACATTGCCGACGGCTCCCGCTGCAGCATTCACAAAGACTGTCTCTCCATTTTTTGGACAACATGCCTCCAGAAACCCAAAGTAGGCTGTCATACTGATGAGAAAGAACAAATACGAACAACTTGTACAAAAACAAGGATTTGACACTACAGTAGTTTTACATCTATTCTTTGTATTAGCACCACCTTCATATTAAGATTATATTCTATTTTGCAATGATTTCCTTCGGGGATTTTTTAAAAAAAAATTCATAACTTTCATCAGAAATGAAAGTGATCAACTTATTTTTGTGATGCATGGTGTTGATAATATTCAGGACCTGCAATGATAATTTAATTCTTCAAGCCACATTCATCTAGAAAAAATAAGCAATGACAGTTCTGTAAGTGTTCAATGAAACTTGTATGGGGGCTCTATATTAACAACTGTACCTGCTCTTCTACTATAATGTCTTGCCAAGAACAAAACATCAACGATGTACGATTCAATGTTCAATAAATTTCCGTTACCCTGGCATTCCCAATGTTCCCAGTGCCAGTGATTTAGGTAGATCTCCCATGTCTGGAACTTTGTTGAGTTTGGAGGGATCTGATACAACTGTGTGGGACCTCCAGCCTAACATGCTCTGAACAATGGCTCCCACTGGAAAATCCGGGTTCTCACTTTTACTTACCCTACAAATATCTATAAAGATGCAAAGACGTACTTTTGATGCATGAATGCATGAACACTGTAATTTTCCATTTCCTATGTAAAAAGGAGATGAAAATTTCCTACCTGGCAACTTGTTCCCCCATCATGACAGAGTCTATTGGAACTGGAAATAATCTGAAACAGTAAAAGAACTGAGTACACAGGTCACAGGAAAAGTACCGGCACCCTGTACCTACATCACAACTACACTGTACTCACCTATGTATACCAGGAACTGGTATAACTACACACAAAAATAACTTCACGATAGTGAGTAGTGAGTACAGATATTTTGAATTACTTAGCCAAAGATGTCAATTGTATATTAATTAACATGTGGTTTTACACAACAACTGTAAGAAGGCTAACAAACTAAGCTTGTTTTTTACATGTTTCACATTCATTTCTCTGTTTAGAAGCTGCTGGTAGCCTACTAGAAATAAGTGGAAAGATAAGGAATTATATCCTTAATTTTTATAGGCACGTTTTTGTTTAAAATCAGTACTTACCTCATATATGGATCAACACTTAAGAAGACTGCTTCACAAAGAACTTCTAAAACAGAAAATAAAATAATACTTTGAACAGCGGTCAGCTTGTTCAGTTTAGCGTTAACCCAAAGGCAAAATGTAATGATATATTATAAATATTAAGTTATAATTTGTTACATGTATACTTCGCGTAATATTATATTCTGCGTTGATTAGGAAGCAAAATGTAATAACTAAAAAATTTAATGATCCCATTTGCGCTCCCCATGTAATTCTGTAAATGCCGCATTATAAGACTTGTATATACTAATATTTACATTTCCAATGTCTTTGTTCGAGATAACTTTACAAATAACTAATGTACTTTATTTCTCCATCAATGCACAATATTCCTGAATGTGATTTATTCTTAAATGGTAGTTCTAACCATGGACTTGATATTAATATACAAATATTTGAAGCTGTACAAACATTTATAGCAGCAACAAAACGTTTTATATATAGCACTGTCATATACATATATAGGTGTAATTCTTAATTGTTAGAAATACTCCCAAACCGGTACTACTTTGTATTTTGTCCCCCCCCCCCCCCCCCTGTAATTTGCCCTTTTTGTTATTTTGTTCATTCCATTTTTCTCTTTTGTACAATTTTTCTTTATATGACTTTTTCTGTATCTTTTTTCTTTATGTTACTTTGTTCATTTTTGTTTGTGTTTTTTTTCTCTTCTTTTGTACATTCTTTTATTATTACTATTTGTTTTGTACCTTGACCTAAATGTAGGGAGAGGGCTAAAATAGGCTGCGCCTGCTGCCCAATCCTATTCACGATACCATCAGTGAATAAAATATTGTTTAAATTAAATGCACTGCTTCATCAATAGAGTGCAGTTTTTAAAATTCACGTGCAGGGCGAGAGAAGCAGGGCTTGTAGCACGTGGATTGGCGGAATCAAGAGCATGTAAATATAAGGAATAACTGTCAGATTTATCAATTTCATGACGAAAATCAATCTATTGGCTTGCGTGATATTCGGCGTTTATGCAAATTATCACGCAAGCCAATCGATTGATCAGTCACATCATGAAATCGAAAAATAAGACAGTTATTCCTTAAGTAATATAGGTCTACCCCTCTATACTATAAAATCAACGTTGATTTTAAAGTATAGAGGTGCAGACCTATATAAAGGCCTACTTATCTTTCGTCATTTACAGAATTACATGGGGAGTGCCTATGAATAATCCATTTTGCGTTTAGCGTTTACAATGCGTTTATGTACATTACTTATTCGAGAGAACTATTGTGTTCTTTTTTTTTTGTTTTAAATTTGTATTTTCTTTTTTTTTTTTGTGTGTGCGAGAGAGATCCTGTTCCTTAAGGCAGGATGATTAAAACACACATAAAATAGTCATATGCCATTTTAAAGTTACGTGCAAAAATATCTCTCTGAGATCTCAATTGCTTTTGAGATAATACAAACGCTAAATAAAGCAACAAAAATAACCCCATTCACGAAGTTTTATCTATATAAAATAAACATTAGTAGTAATGACTTTGAAAACTTCATAAGTCAAAGAACATAGTTCATTAGCGTAAGGGTTTTTGATAATCACTTTTAGCAAATTGTTAGTTCTGTGTGTAAATTGTGTTGTAAAGCAGGAGAGGGATTTACTAATGTATGTATTGTTTGTTTACATTTTCAGCTTAAGCGGTTTCAGATTGTTCTGATTCTGACAAAATCGGACCGTGGTATTAGGATTGAAAAACTCACTGTCATGTCTTATCATTTATAGAGCTTTTTGATAGTTTTAAAATAATATTTTCATCAGAATATAAGCAATGATTCAACCTGTGACATAAGAAATCCATTTGCAACTTTATAGTGTAAATGAGCCACGGCTCTCTGGCTACTATCAAAGAGCTTTGATTTTTGTTTTAAATTTGTATTTTCTTTTTTTTTTTTGTGTGTGCGAGAGAGATCCCCCTTCCTTAAGCTCAACCGGAGGATTAAAACACACATAAAATAGTCATATGCTGTCAGTTTGAAGGCAGTGATAACATTTCCCCCACTCTACTCTCTCTGAGATTACAATGTACCCTCATCCTGTTCCCTCTTTGACGGATCAAAGACTATTTCTACTTACGTAGCGAGATGTACTAATACCTACATGTGCCTTATACCCCATTCATGCGACATGATTTGCATACCTCAGTATATTTTACACATGAGTAAATTTACTCACTTGTGCAATTTTTGTCGTATGAACTGATATACTCATATGCAAATTCTGCACAGTTGAGTAAATTTACACCTGGTCAGGACTAGGTGCAAATTAACTTTTGCATACACTTTGTAGCAAATTGTTAGTTCATGTGTGTAAATTGTGTTGTATGAACAGGCAGCAAATTTACTAATGTATGTATTTTGTTTTGTTTATTTTATAAATTTCCATTTTAAGTGTTGTTTCAGTTGTGTATGCATTGGCGTGTAAAATATCAGTCCGTAAACACTTGATTGGTTGATTGATTGTATATTGTTTAACGTTCTTCTCGAGAATATTTCACTCATCACTTTCCAGTGGAGAGCTGCAAATTTTGTCCTATACTCGGCACTTATGGCCATTGAGCAGGGAGGGATCTTTTTCATGCCACTGAAGGACCGGTCTTCACGTCCAACAATAGGATTCTAACCTGTGACATAAGGATCAACTCCTTACTTCGCAACTTTATAGTAGATCCTCTAACCACTGCGCCACGTGGGTGACTTATGGCTAGAAAGCAAAACTATTAAACAAAGAGCCATTATCCCCTCCGAGATAAATTTTCGAATTTTCAAAAACGAGGGCATCTTGCACCCATTGTTGCGAACCTATGTTTATGTCTCTAAAGATATAGATGTGGTCGCAAACAAGTGCCCTGTAGGATTAATAAATAGTGTCCTTACTATTCAATTTCTCTTCTTGGGAATGCTCCGGAGCTATGATAGGAACATGCATTCCATCAGTCGCTCGGGCCTCATTTCCGTTTAGCTCTTGATGACTTTCTTCTACCTTTCTCTGTTTTTAATTCAGGCAAGTTACTAATATATAAGTTAATGTTATAGGAATTTCAATAAACTAGTGAAAATAAGCATTCGTAAGTAACCTCCTTGGCACCTGATCTCACTATAAATGTTCAGGAGTTCGTGTTAATTTCCTTTTAACATATTTGTATTGTTCAAAGATTTTTGAGGTCGATCACTGTTAGATTTTTTCATCCTTTTCATTGTATTGGAAAATACATGATTATTATTATGTAATATTCAACCAGATATTTTATAGTGGCCTCGCACAATTGATGTACTGTAGATTTCCCAACAGCAAAACTTTTTTTATTTAGTCTTATTTCTGCCGAAGACGTCAAGTAGTAGATGGCAAGTCACCTTTTTTCTTTACACCCAACGGCTCTTCTACAATCTTTGGGACGGAAGCTTAAACATTTTCCAACAATAAAGCAATATGAGCTGTATTTTTGAGGAAATTATTTTGCTATTAAAATGTGTTATTTTGATTAATTTTTATCTAATTTAAACCATTATGTCTAAACCAAAATAAGTTTTTTAAATTGTTTCAGAAGAAATGTTTCTGTACAATCGAATATATAGCATTATATTTACATCCACTGAATATTTTTTCCTTTATTTTTTAAGAAAACCCATTGCGTTAATCACTGCATGAACTACAGTAGGCATGTCGCCTGTACAGATTTCTTGATCAGTGGCTGTTCCATCAATGAAACGTATAAAGACGTTCGCATCATTAATACAATAATTAATCTTTTTAATCCTACTTTAAATAATTATTTCAACAGATATAAATATAAACAATAAAATGTCTTTCTTTGTTTGTTCTTACTGGAATTAACGGTCGCAGCTATTGCAGAAAAAAATTATGTATTTTTTCTGCAACAGCTGCTTCCGTTAATTCCAGTAAGAACAAACAAAGAAAGCATTTTATTATTTAAATATAAGAAATCAATAATGCACAGGACAACAATAATGTCATTTTGCTTTAATTAAAGCTTTAAAAAAGTTCTTCCATCGCAAATATGAACAATTGTAGTTTATAAATGTTCTATTTTTCTATCATTGAAATACTAGTAGATGATTACAAATTTGCAACAAAATTTTCCCATGTCAATCTTGCATCTCATATTGATGATTTTAATAAGTTTTCCTTCTTCGTGTGTAAATTCTTATACATGTACCATTCTTTCTCCTTAAAGTCATTAACTAAGTTGTACCAAGAAATCAGTTGAACAGACCCCACCCCCAGTTTTTTGGAGGAAGATTTAAGAGTTTAGTCTTAACATTAAGTCTTATACCCAAACATTAAAGAAATACCCTTTTCTATAAAAAATCACAATTCTGAATCTGTCCATCTCCTTAGTGTATATGAAAATACTAGTATGAGGATTTACTAACAGTACATAAATCTCGTCTGAACGCATAGCAAATTAACTTTTACTTACATGTGTAGATTTACTTATATGTAAATTTGCACACATAAGTAAATTTTCGTCGTATGAATGGGGTATTAGTATTTAAACCTACTCAAAGTAGCTATTTAGTTTTATTTCATGATGTGATCAATCGATTGGCATGCATGATTATTTGCATAAACTACCTGTAGTAGGTAAAAATAGCCTTTTGTCTGGACCTGTAAAGTGTTTGACTTTCTTTATACACGTGACTGTCGTCCGTGTACACTAGTAATTCGCAGAGAAAATAAATCCCATTTGCATTTGAGATCTACTACATAAACTAAGCTGTATGTCTTTAAATGTTTAGCTGTACATAAACCAGGCAAAACTTCTTTGTAAGTAAGACAGCTTTTAACGATAAAATAAAAATAATTATCGTTTGTTTTGCCGCGTAAGACACAAGTAAGATTATGGTCAGCCACTTGCTGTTAATAATATACAAATAAAGTTTTTGTGAAAACAAATACATTTTATAGAGATTACACATTTTTTTCTACCTCCCTCTAAATTATCTATATCTGATCTGGCAATTCTTACTGTTTAGTTGTTTTTAGACGATATATAAGTGGCGGTCCAGAAAATGCCATTTTTTAAGCCAAAATCCATTTCTTGCACGCCTG